CTCACTCGGTAGACCAGGCTTGGTCTCGAACTCACAGAGATTCACCTGCCTCTGCTTCCCGTGTGTGCCGCTGCCACCACCACCCGGCGAGTGATTACCTTTTCAATATCAATACCCAAAACATCAAGTAATCACACCCAAACCAAGTATCCTGTTATCAAGGCAAGATACACAATAACCACACTTCAGGCTAAATATCCTGTTGTTAAAGTAAAACAGCATTAGTTACATCTTAGGGCAAATATCCTGTAGTTTGACCTTGAAAGAGCAATAGTGGGTTTGAACTCTCTGAAGATGAAGTGGAGCCATTTTCTGTGGGCGGGCACCAACAAACCTGGACACGAAACAACTTCCTCACTCATTGGTCTGTCACTGGAGAGGTATTTATTTAGAGACATGATATCTACCTCAGGCTGTCTTTGAACTCTCATCCAAGGATTATCTTGAACTTCTGATCCTCCTGCAATTCCAGGGCATCTGACACCTTCACACCAATATACATAAGATAAATTTTAAGAAGATGCCCAGACAGGAGTTGGTGGCGCATGCCTTTAATCCACTTGGGAGGCAGAGGCAGCTGGATCGCTGTGAGTTTGAGAGCATCCTGGACTACAAGAGCTACTTCCAGGACAGTCACCAAAGCCACAGAGAAACCCTGTCTCAAAAAAGTAAAAATAAAAATAAAAAAAGATGCAGAAAGAGGCCGGGTGTTGGTGGCACTTACCTTTAATCCCAGCACTCGGGAGACAGAGGCAGGCGGATCTCTGTGAGTTCCAGGCCAGCCTGATCTACAGAATAAGTTCCAGGTCAGCCTCAAAAACAATGCAGAGAAACCCTGTCTCGAAAAACCAAAAAAAAAAAAAAAATTCAGAAAGAGAAGGTATTGGCTTTGCAGAGTCCAAGGGACATTAGACCCTCCCTCAGAACAACAAAACAAAAGTTAGGTCAGAGTCCAGGAGAAGAGCAAGAGACACCAGTCAACCTTGTTAACAGTTACTTGGAAGCTGAACCAACTTTGCCTGTACTTGTTAAATGTCTAGGCTGACAAAACTTTACCTTAACCATCATGTCTTCCTTTGTGTCTTGTTTTGTCTTGAGACTGGGTCTCACTGGCTGCCCTGGAACTTTCTCTGTAGACCAGGCTGGCCTCTAACACAGAACACCCAGCACATTCATGGTGTTGTAACCATCTGTAAGCCCCAGTTCCAGGGGAGTCAACAGGCATACAATTGGTACATATACCTGCATACAGGCAAAATATTCACACACACACACAAGTAAGCCTGACATTGTAAAGATTTATCTGACACAGAGGCAGGATTAATACAGGTTCCAGGTTGCTTTGGTCTATGTAGCTAGTTCCAGGCCAGAGGAGGTTAACAAACAAAAACACAAGAGGTTAGAGGTGTAGCTATGTTGGTAAAGTGTTTGTACAGCATTCATGATGTCCTGGGTTCTGATCCACACACTGCATAAACCAGGTACAGTGGTACACACCTGTAATCTCAGCACTCAGGAGGTGGAGGCAAGAGAAATTAGAAATTCAAGGTGATCCTCCTTTACACAGTGAATCCCAGGTTAGTTCTCGTCCATGAGACCTTGTATGGTAACAAGGAAGAGGACAGAGTCCCCAGGCTGGAACAAACTCCTAGCTATCACGTTAGGAGTCTCTCACAATTGTCTAGGCTAGAGGTGATGGTTTAAAGGTCTCAGTGAGCCTCCAAAGCAACAGAGAAACCCTGTCTCGATAAACCAAAAAAATAAAATAAAATAAAGGTCACAGTGGAGAAAAGTGAAGAACTCAGGACACTTGTGGTGTCAGAATCAGCAGGATAGACAATGAATTCCATTTGGGAGGGAAGGGAAGACGTGGTAGTCAACATGCCCATCTCTGTGTGCTGGGGAACTTATGGCAAAAGGATTCTGGCATATTAAGTTCTAGATCCACATAGGATGTCCACAGGGAGACATCATCTAGTTAGTAGATTCTCTTATTTATTTTGTCTCAAAAAAACCAAAACCAAAACAAAACAAAAAAGCCCCAAACCTGCCAATAATTATTTTCCATTGTCTTTTGTATGTTCCACTCTGATCAAAATCCGTATAGTGTCGCCGGGCGTTGGTGGCGCACGCCTTTAATCCCAGCACTCGGGAGGCAGAGGCAGGCGGATCTCTGTGAGTTCGAGACCAGTCTGGACTACCAAGCGAGTTCCAGGACAGCCTCCAAAGCCACAGAGAAACCCTGTCTTGAAAAAAACAAACAAAAAACAAAACAAAACAAAACAAAAAACAGGGGAAAACTCTGAGGAGGGGCCATGATCTGAAGGTGAAGAAGGATTCAGCCTCATGACTTAGCTGAGAATACTCCAGATAGAAAGGGGAAGACCTTGCAATGGAATAGAGCATGGCATGATGAAGAAAGAGAAAAAGACACATCCATCTGTGCCTTAGTGGAGAAGAGGAAGAGAAAAGATGCCTGAAGAATTGGCAGGGGACAGGTGTGCAGCACCATAGGCAGTATATGGATTTTTTTTTTTTTTTTTTGGTTTTTCAAGACAGGGTTTCTCTGTGGCTTTGGAGGCTGTCCTGGAACTCGCTTGGTAGTCCAGGCTGGTCTCAAACTCACAGAGATCTGCCTGCCTCTGCCTCCCGAGTGCTGGGGTTAAAGGCGTGCGCCACCAACGCCTGGCTTTTCCCCCTGTTTTATCATTCTACCTTCTCTATTCCCTCATCCTGGTTCTGTCCACTAGCCCTTTCTTTCTTTCTCTCTTTCTTTCTTTCTTTCTTCCTTCCTTTCTTTCTTTCTTTCTTTCCTCTTCTTCTTCTCCTCCTCTGCCTCCTCTTCATCCTCTTCCTCCTCCTTCGCCTCCTCCTCCTCCTCCTCCTTCTTCTCCTTCTCCTTCTTTTTTGTTCTCTGTGTAGCCCTGGCTGTCCTGGAACTTGTTCTGTAGACCAGGCTGGCCTGGAACTCACAGAGATCCGCCTGCCTCTGCCTCTGTCTCCAAAGTACTGGGATTAAAGGCATGTGCCACCACTGTTTGATGATCGTGTTTCATTGACTGTGTGCCTAAATCAGAAATGTCTCATAGTAAATACTCTGTTGGGGACGTCTTTTGTCAATAAAGCACTGTTGAGCCAATAGGAATCTAGATAGGTGGGACTAGGAGTCCAGGAGGATTCTGGGAAGGAGAAACACAGGAGAGTTCGAGATGTAACCGCCATGGGGTAGGAAGCCCGGAACTATTCTCCAGTAAGAAACATACTTAGATTAACAATTATGGGGTAATTACTTAAGTCAGAGCTAGCTAGTAAGAAACAAGCAAGGCCAACAGCTTCATAATTAATATAGCCTCCTGTGTGTTTATTTGGGACTGATGCGGCTCTAGAACCAGGTTGGCGGGAAGGCTTCTCTCTCAAGGAAAAGCTTCTCTTTACAAAAATACTCAATAAACAATTATTCAATGAGGGACCAGAGCTATGGTTCAGTGGTTGAGTGCATACTGTTCTTGCAAAGGACCCTAGTTTGGGTCAAGCAGCTTACAACTGCCTGTAACCCCAGCTCCAGGAGAATCCCTATGGCCTCGACAGTCACTGCAGCCATGTGCACAAACTTACACACATATAATTCGAAATAAAAATAACTACCTGGGTAGTGATGGTACATGCCTTTAATGTCAGCACTCAGGAGGCAGAGTCAGGCAGATATCTGAGTTTGAGGCCAGCCTGGTCTACAAACAAACTTCCAGGACAACCAAGGCTACACAGTGAAGCCTGTCTCAAAAAACCAAATGCATAATACATGAATGCATGCATGCATACATATATACATCTTTTTTTTTTTTTTGGTTTTTCGAGACAGGGTTTCTCTGTGGCTTTGGAGGCTGTCCTGGAACTCGCTCTTGTAGACCAGGCTGGTCTTGAACTCACAGAGATCCGCCTGTCTCTGCCTCCCGAGTGCTGGGATTAAAGCGTGTGCCACCAACGCCAGGCTCATATACACATCTTTAAAAAGGTTTTTCATATGAATGATTATCGATATTTTCTTTTCCTTTCCTTTCCTTTCTCTCTCTTCCTATGCTCTACCCCCTTTCCTTATCAAACCAAATTCAAAGTCTCATACATGCCAGGCAGTGGTGAATGGATAGATCAGTTAGCTCTGTATTAAGTGAGGGTGAGACAGAGATGACCCAAACAGACATTGCCAGGGGACACCATGAAAGGCATAGTCTGATGAAAAGGGTGGACAGTTGTAAAATGGTGAAGCAGCGGAGATCTGGTGCTAGAATTAGAGACAACAGGGACGCAAAAGCTGGCATCTGAACAAGCATATGCCCTGTAAGGATGGAGGCCATGTTTACATGATTCAAATCTTTTTTCTATCACATTTTATTTGGTGTGTGAATATCTGTACATGCACGTGAGTGCAGGTGCCTGCAGAGTTCAAAGGCATCGGGAACCCTTGCTGCTGGAGTTACAGGCGATTTGAGCCACCACATGTGGGTGCTGGGAACCAAACTCCTCTGTAAGTCATTCGGTGCCATCTCTCCAGTCCATTGAGGACACTCATTTTGTTTTGTTTTGTTCGAGACAGGGTTTCTCTGTGGCTTTGGAGGCTGTCCTGGAACCAGTGCTTGTAGACCAGTCTGGTTACGAACTCACAGAGATCCGCCTCCCTCTGCCTCTGCCTCCCGAGTGCTGGGATTAAAGGCGTGCGCCACCAATGCCCGTCTGAGGACACTCTCTTAATATCCTGTTTCCTTCTTAGAGGGCTGAGCAGACTCGCCTGCTCCGAGTAGAGATTCCTCTTGGCTGCCCACCTGGTTCAAACTCAGGGTGGCCTCGGAGTTCGAATGCGACGTTGCCCACTGTCACCCCAATCCCTCCCTCTTCCGGCTAGCAGGAAGCTCCATGGCAACCCAAAACATCACAACTTCACGGAGTATCGCGAGAAGCATTAATGAGCCCGAGGCCCAGGAGAGGCGGGGCGAAGGCGGGGCCGCAGCGGGAAAGCGGGCGGAGCGAGAGAGCTTCCGCGATCCCCGGTCGGAAGCCGCCCTCTTCAGGCGGCGCCCCCGCGTGACTGCGCTTTACATAATCGCGGCCCCGAGCGTCATAGTGGCGTAGTCCAATCTAGACCGAATCAGAGCCGTCGGGAACGTCACGTTCCGCCCCCTCCCGCTTGATCGACGTCCTGGCGAACCAGCGAACGGCCGCTTAGCACCGGAGAGCCCGCCCCCGCGCCGGCGGCCCGCCCTCGCCCGCCCGCCCTCCGCAGCCCGCGGCCGGCCGCCGCCGCCAGGTTGTGCCTGAGACTGTCAGATAAAGCGGCGGGCCGGCGGGCGGGGCGGCGGTGAGCACGGCCCGGGCCGGACATGGCGGCGCTCTACGCCTGCACCAAGTGCCACCAGCGCTTCCCCTTCGAGGCGCTGTCTCAGGGGCAGCAGCTGTGCAAGGTGCGCGGGCTGGGGCGGGGGACGCTCCGGGCGCGGCTAGGAATTCTCGGTCCTATGAGGACGCCCGCCGGGGTCCCCTCGGGCAGGGTGTGGCTGGCCCGCTTCGCCGAGAAACGGCGCCGGGCTGCCCGGGGACTACGGGGCACGTGGGGGAGCCCGGGGCTGAGTTCAGGCCCTGGTAGCCGGCGTGCCCTGGTGCTTAGCAACGGCGGGGTTTCGTCGGACCCGGTGAGGTCGCGGGAGGGGACGACTAGTCTCTCGTTTGTCCGCGACCGCCCCCCCCCCACCCCCGGGCAAGATCCCCTTGGACCGCCTCCTCTCTTGCTGTGATCGCCCTGGGTGCAGAATGAGGGCCCGAGGACCTTTCCCGTCCCGCCTGAGATTGAATCCCGGAGCAGGGTGCAGCTTGTGAGGAGTGTCTCGAACTCGGACATTCATGGGCACTTTTCAGCCAATCTCAAAGTTGGAGGTGGCCAGGCTTTATTAGGGAAAATGAAAAAAGTTCCCATTGTAGCCTTGGAACACAAGAATCAGATGACTTTTTAGCACCTGGTTGGTAGCTTTCTGCTTTGCCCTAACCATGTTTTAACCCCTGAAATGTCAGCGGTTTTCTTTCTTTCCTCATCCGACTTTGTTCTGGTTAATAGAGCAACAACACCAAGCTCCTGTGAAGTGGCCATTGATAAGTTCTCAGATAGATATTTTAGAATGTGTCTAGCTCATAAGAAAAGAAAAAAAAGAGGCTCACATCTTTCCCTCTTCAGCTACTTGTGTTTACTGAGTCTGAGAGATAGTATGTCCCTTTGGACATAAAAGCTATGTTTTAAATTTTCTTTTTGTTTTCGAGACAGGGTCTCACTTGAAGCTCTGCTTGTCCAGGAACTCACAGAGACCCGACTGCCTCTTCGGAAAGGGGTGTGCCACCAAGCCCAGCCCAAGACTGATTTTTTTTTGTTGTTGTTCTTTGTTTTTTGTATTTTTGAGACAGGGTTTCTCTGTGTAGCTTTGGAGCCTATCTTGGAACTCCGCTTTGTAGATCAGGCCTTGAACTCACAGAGATCCACCTGCTGATTTTTTTTTTAAAGGAAGTTTTATAAACAGATAAAATGGTTTTAATCCTTTGCCTTTATTTCCCCAGTCATCCTTCTTGGTATCCCACAATGGAAGATAACCAGCATTGGAATCTAGAGAGTCTGATTTATTCATGCATATATTTGCTTTTCAATCTATGAGTAGTTCATATACATTCCTATTCTCACACCAACATCAGGGAAGTGATGAAGATACTGCAGAGGAGGAAAATAAGGTCCAGAAAAGTTGAATGACTCACTTGAGGCGTAGTGGCTGTGCTAGGAATAGTTCGTCCCCAGCTCCGCTGCCGCCTGCTGAAGCCTGTTTCCACTCCCAGGGCCTTTCAAATGATCACCTCCTCTCTTTTCAGGAATGCCGGATTGCTCACCCTGTTGTGAAGTGCACCTACTGCAGGACTGAGTACCAGCAGGAGAGGTAGAGTTCTGGTTGACCATGAAAGAGGTTTTCTTGCTGTTTTTAGGTTTCTTTTTGAGGTGGTAACCCAGGCTAGCTTTCTCCATTTGAGACAGTAACCCAGGCTAGCTTTCCATTTGAGACAGTCTTTAGTTTCAGCTTCTCTAGGTCTGGGATTAAAGTCGTGCCACCATTGCCCACCCAGAACACACATATTTATTTATTTATTTATTTATTTATTTATTTATTTATTTATTTTTGTTTTTTCCGAGACAGGCTTTCTCTGTATTGTCTTGGAGGCTGGCCTGGAACTGGCTCTGTAGATCAGGCTGGCCTTGAACTCACAGAGATCCACCTGCCTCTCTGCCTCCCAAGTGCTGGGATTAAAGGCGTGTGCCACCACCCCGCTGAAGACACATTTAAAAAAAACAGTAACATTAAAAAAATATGCCAAGCATAGTAGCATAGGTCTTTAATCCCAGCACTTGGGAGGCAGAGGCAGGTGGATCTTTGAGTTCAAGGCCAGTCTGGTCTACACAGAATGAGTTCCAGGATGGTCAGGGTTACACAGCAAAACCCTATCTCAAGAAACCAAACCAAAACAAACTAAATGACATAAATAGACTTAATTTCTTAAAGTTTCTGCTTGTTGCTGAGCCTTGGTGGCTCATGGCCTTTAATCCCAACTCGAAAGAGACAGAGGCAGGCAGATCTCAGTGAGTTCAAGTCCAGCCTGGTCTACAAAGCAAGTTACAGGACAGCCAGGACTGTACACAGTGCTTGGATGTGCATACGGCTGTAATTAACTAATTGTAGCAACCTTTTTTTTTTTTTTTTTTTTGAGTTTCGGATTTTTTTTATTACATATACAGTGTTCTGCCTACATGCAAAAAGAGGGTACCAGATTGAATTATAGATGGTTGTGAGCCACCATGTGGTTGCTGGGAATTGAACTCAAGACCCCTGGAAGAGCAGTCAGTGCTCTTAACCTTTGAGCCACTCCTGCCAGCAACCTTTTTTTTTTGGACAGGATCTTACTATGTAGACTAAATAGTCTTTTTTTTTTTTAATTGTTAAGTGTGTTTGTGAGTACATGTTCTGGTAAAAGCTAGAAGCATCAGATGCCCCTGGAGCTGGAGTTAAGGTGGTAGTGAGACACCCTACATGGGTAGTGGGAACTGAACTCAGGTCCTCTGGAAATCTTTGAAAGTGTTCTTAACCAGATCCAGCTCTCCAGTTCCAGGATGGTCTTATGCGCAGAAATCTACCTACCTCTGCTGGCATAGCGGTGAGATCAGTGCATTCACCACCACACCCAGCTAGATTTGTAGTCAGTTACATTATACACAGGTTAGGTAGCTTCCTGTATATTCTCGGGTATATAATAAGCATGTTATTTCCTATATATTACCCATTGTCTGCTTAGATTTTTATTTCATTTTTCTGCCAGATTGAAAAAGAAGTGGGGATCAGAGCACTTTGTGGTACCAGTCCGTAATCCCAGGGACTGGTGAGACCTTGCCTCAAGTAAATTCCATATAGAGTGATGAAGGATCCGGAATGTGAATGACATATGACTTTAAACATTTAAGCACATACCTTTTATCCCAGCACTCAGAGGGAGAGGCCGTGTCTCAGAGAAACAGGGGCCCCCTGCTAAAATACTAGCGGTTTTTTAATTGCAGCATTGGTCCACATAGTGAACTACAGGTCAGCTACCAAAGCAACATAGGAAGACTCTGTATACATAGTGAACTACAGGTCAGCTACCAAAGCAACATAGGAAGACTCTGTACACATAGTGAACTACAGGTCAGCTACCAAAGCAACATAGGAAGACTCTGTACACTTAGTGAACTACAGGTCAGCTACCAAAGCAACATAGGAAGACTCTGTACACATAGTGAACTACAGGTCAGCTACCAAAGCAACATAGGAAGACTCTGTACACATAGTGAACTACAGGTCAGCTACCAAAGCAACATAGGAAGACTCTGTACACATAGTGAACTACAGGTCAGCTACCAAAGCAACATAGGAAGACTCTGTACACATAGTGAACTACAGGTCAGCTACCAAAGCAACATAGGAAGACTCTGTACACATAGTGAACTACAGGTCAGCTACCAAAGCAACATAGGAAGACTCTGTACACATAGTGAACTACAGGTCAGCTACCAAAGCAACATAGGAAGACTCTACACATAGTGAACTACAGGTCAGCTACCAAAGCAACATAGGAAGACTCTGTACACATAGTGAACTACAGGTCAGCTACCAAAGCAACATAGGAAGACTCTGTACACTTAGTGAACTACAGGTCAGCTACCAAAGCAACATAGGAAGACTCTGTACACATAGTGAACTACAGGTCAGCTACCAAAGCAACATAGGAAGACTCTGTACACATAGTGAACTACAGGTCAGCTACCAAAGCAACATAGGAAGACTCTGTACACTTAGTGAACTACAGGTCAGCTACCAAAGCAACATAGGAAGACTCTGTACACATAGTGAACTACAGGTCAGCTACCAAAGCAACATAGGAAGACTCTGTACACATAGTGAACTACAGGTCAGCTACCAAAGCAACATAGGAAGACTCTGTACACATAGTGAACTACAGGTCAGCTACCAAAGCAACATAGGAAGACTCTGTACACATAGTGAACTACAGGTCAGCTACCAAAGCAACATAGGAAGACTCTACACATAGTGAACTACAGGTCAGCTACCAAAGCAACATAGGAAGACTCTGTACACATAGTGAACTACAGGTCAGCTACCAAAGCAACATAGGAAGACTCTGTACACATAGTGAACTACAGGTCAGCTACCAAAGCAACATAGGAAGACTCTGTATAAAACAAACACATAAAAAGCTGTAACTCCAGGGAATGAGATCCACTGAGAGCTCCTCTCTCACATGGATTGCCGATAGGCAGACGCATATATACACATAATTAAAAATTGCCCTGGCAATATTTGGTATGTATACTTTTCTTTTTTCTTTTTTTGAGTGCTTGGGATTAAACTCAGGGCCTTCCATGTTACAGGCAAGTACTCTATCAGCTATATCCTGGTTTTCAGTTTAAATGATCTTGATTCTGAGGTATCTAATTTTTCTTTTCTTTTTCTCTCTCTCTTTCTCCTTTCTGTCTTTTAAGACAGGGCTTCTCTGTATAGCTCTGGCTGTCCTGGAACTCACTCTGTAGACTAGGCTGTCTTCGAACTCAGAGATCCACCTCACTCTGCCTCCCAAGTGCTGGGATTAAAGATGTGCACCACCATGCCCACCTTGTTGTTTTCTGTTCTAATTTTATGGTCCCTCTGTAGAAATGGTATGGCAAAATAATCACAAAATGGACTCAGTTTTTATTTTGGTCTCGGGCCATTTAATGCCTTTATCCACCAGCTATTCTTTTGTGTAAAGGGTTAGGCTGTGTGTGTGACATACTTTTACTGTGTAGTGCTAGCTGGCCTGGAACTTGCTGTGTAGACCAGGCTGGTCTCTGGGATTAAAGGCATGTGCCACTATGGCTGGCTAATTTGGCCTTATCTGAAGATGGAGTTCCTGTAAGCAGATTGCTTAGTTCAGGCACTTTGGTTGTATCATAGCCTTTAAATCTTCACAAGGCAAAGGAAGTGTTTATTTTGGTCAATGGCAAACTTAGAGAGCTCACAGATACTAAGTATTTGTCCATAGATAGCATCTATTTCCCTGCACCTGATTTTCAGTCTCTTCCTTACAAAGGAGAGTGTAGTCTCCTTCATATCCCAGGCACACATTTATTCCTCACCTCAAATTTCTCAGATATTCATCGGAAGCGGAGAGAATTAACTTCTAGTATTTTGTTTCAGTTTAACACCATATTTTCCACTTTGGGATACTTAAAGATGTCATAATTAAAGCTGGGCGTGGTGGTCCCACATCTGTAGTCCTAGCATGCAGGAGGTTAAAACTGTTCTCAACTACATAGTGAGTCTGCAGCCAGCATGGGCTGTATGAGTAAAATACCAAACTGGGGTTGGGGTGGGGGTGGGTGGCATAAACTGAAGTGACTCATTCTCTCTTTAAACTAGAGTTTCATTACTAGTTTATCAGATATGCAGACTATACATCCCCTAGACCCTAGCACCTCAGCAATAACAAATTCCTTGACTTCAGAGGAATGGGCTTTCAGATTTTCTAAGAGAAGTCTTGTTTTGTTGTTTTCTTCAACAGTAAAACCAATACAATATGCAAGAAGTGTGCTCAGAACGTGCAGCTGTATGGAACGGTGAGTGGGGTTTCTCTGAACCAAAATCCCAACAGGAGCGAGTACTCAGATCTCTTTGAGCTCAGTGGTGAAGAGTACATGGTGATCTTCTAAAGGACCTGGGTTTAGTTCCCGGCACCCTCGTGGTGGCTCACAACCAGGTGCAACTCCATTTCCAGGGGGATCTGATGCCCCTTTTTGGCCTCTGAATACCATGTACCCATGCAGTGCACATACGCATAAGCAAACACCCATTCATATAAAAAGTTTTAAAATCCCCGGGCGTTGGTGGCGCACGCCTTTAATCCCAGCACTCAGGAGGCAGAGGCAGGCGGATCTCTGTGAGTTCGAGGCCAGCCTGGTCTACAGAGCGAGTTCCAGGACAGCCTCCAAAACAATACAGAGAAACCCTGTCTCGAGAAACCAAAAAAAAAAAAAAGTTTTAAAATCGTATATGTATGATTTTACCTTCCTTTTTTCCTCTTCCCTTTTCCCTCCCCTCCTTTCTTTCATGCCTTCCTTCCTGAATGTTTGTTTCATGTGTTGACACAGCATGCGTGTGCATGTCAGTTGTGGAGTCTTTACCTTTGTGAGTTCTGGGATTGGTAAGCACCTTTGCCCATTGAGTACCACCATGCCCACCTTGTTTTCTGTTCTAACTCTATGGTCCCTCTGTAGAAATGGAGTGGGACCATTTAATATGTCTTTATCCATCAGGCATTCTTTTGTGTAAAGGGTTAGGCTGTGTGTATGTGAGTGACATATTTACTGTGTAGCCCTGGCTGGCCTGGAACTCGCTGTGTAGACCAGGCTAGCTTCGAACTCACAGAGCTCTCCCTACCCCTGCCTCCCTAGTGCTGGAATTAAATGCGTGTGCCACTGTGCTTGGCCTGTTTGCTTTTTTTGGGGGGGACAATGTTTCATGTATCCCAAGCTGGCTCAAACTCAACTATGTTCTACTGGATTTTTTTGTTGAAGTTTCATCATGGACACTAATGAACTTTGGTTATTTGTTATTTTATTTAAAAAAAATGAATAATCCACTGGGCAGTGGTGGTGCCCACCTTTTGTTCCAGCATGTAGGAGGCAAGGGCAGGCAGATCTCTGTGAGTTTGAGGCCATTCTGGTCTACAAAGCAAGTTCCAAGTCAGCCTCCAAAGCTACAGAGAAGCCCTGTCTCAAAACAAAACAAAAAAAAAAACAATCCTACGGGGAGTTACTTTTTTTTTTTGGTTTTTTGAGACAGGGTTTCTCTGTGGCTTTGGAGGCTGTCCTGGAACTCACTTTGTAGACCAGGCTGTCCTCGAACTCACAGAGATCCGCCTGCCTCTGCCTCCCGAGTGCTGGGATTAAAGGCATGCACCACCAACGCCCGGCAGGAGTTACTTTTTTTTAATGATGATAAGAATTGTGTTTCATTTAAACATTGTAGGGGCAAATGCATGATGTTGGAAATACATGTTTACCATGTGTCATGGCCTACAAAGTAGGAATTATACTGTAAAAAAATGATAAGCTTATTTGATCTTTTTTTTTCTCTCCTTTAAGCCTAAGCCTTGTCAGTATTGCAACATAATTGCAGCATTTATTGGCAATAAATGCCAGCGCTGCACGAATTCAGAGAAGAAGTATGGACCTCCATATTCTTGTGAGCAGTGCAAGCAGCAGTGTGCATTTGACAGGAAAGATGATCGAAAGAAGGTAAATTTCTGGGGTTTTTTTTCTTTGTCTTTTTTTTTATTATTATTATATTGGGCTAGGTCAGGTGGGCATAATTTTGAGTTCCTGTCCTACTTCTGTTACTGACCTTGGAGAGTCATTTATCAAATCTAGATAATTATATTTTAACATTTCTTTAAATAAATTTTTTTGTTACATTTATTTATTGTGCGAATGAGAGGGATGCTTGCCATTGTGTAAGCATGTTTGTGTGTATGTTTGTCGGGGTGGGGATAGGTTCTCTCTATCCATCATGTGGGTCCTAAGGATCAAACTCAGGTGAACAGGCTTGGTTGCAAATGCCTGTTACTGAGCTATCTTACCAGCCCCATTTTTTTTCTTTAAAACAAAAAATGTTTTTTCTTAGGATTATTTGTCTTATTTTATTTGTGAGTATTTAACCAGCGCGCGCGCGCGAGTGTGTGTACATGCACCATATGTGTGCTTGGTGCTGGACAGGGTCACGAGTGGGCGTCATATCCCTAGACCTGGAGCTAGGTGTGGTTGCACGTTACCACATGTGCGCTGGAAATCAACCTGGCTTCTGTACAAGGACAACAAGAGCTCTTAACCCTTGAGCCGTCTTCCTTTTCACTTTTTAAAGCAAGGTCTCTTTGTATTTGGTTAACCTGGAACCCGGTTTAGCCTTGAACATGAAGATCAAAGGTATGTGCCACCATACGCTGTCCATTTCTTCCCATTACAATTAGATTTTATGGAGGCAGAGGCAGGCGGATCTCTGTGAGTTCGAGACCAGCCTGGTCTACACACAACAGCTAGTTCCAGGACAGCCTCCAAAGCCACAGAGAAACCCTGACTCGAAAAACCAAAAAAAAAAAAAAAAAAAATTAGATTTTATATCTTTACTTCTGAGTTCATATGTGTGCTCACCCTTGTGCCACAGGTCCACCTTGGAGCTCAGAGGACAACTTGCAGGAGTTGGTTCTCTCCTACCATAATCTCCAGGTATTAAGTAAGCTGAGGTCATTAGGTTTGGCAGCTGGTGCCTTTATCTACTGAGCAGTCTTGCTGGCCCCTAACATTATTTATTTACTTTTTTCTTTTTGAGACAGGGTTTCTCTATGTAGCTTTGGAGCCTGTCTTGGAACTTACTCTGTAGACCAGGCTGGCCTCAAATTCACAGGGATCTATCTGACTTAACTCCTGAGTGCTAGGTTTAAAGGTGTGCACTACCACCACCCAACTCAAGGTGATTCTTTTTTTTTTTTTGTTTTTTTTTGGTTTTTCGAGACAGGGTTTCTCTGTGGCTTTGGAGGCTGTCCTGGAACTCGCTTGGTAGTCCAGGCTGGTCTCGAACTCACAGAGATCCACCTGCCTCTGCCTCCCGAGTGCTGGGATTAAAGGCGTGCGCCACCAACGCCCGGCTCAAGGTGATTCTTGCTGACCAAATTTATTAATTTGTAGTGGAGGGATATAACTTTCATTGATGAAAATGAATCCTGCCTGCCAGCTGAGACACCTTTCCCTAAAGATGTTGGAAAAGCTGTGCTGGTAATCAGGAGGTAGTTAGTAGTGTTCTTCTCTGGGACGTAGAGATAGCTCAGTGGTTAAAAGCACTGGCTGCTCTTCCAGAAGATCCTGGATTGAGTTCCAGCTCCCATGTGGCAGCTCACAACACATTCTTAGACTCCAGTCCCAGAGAATCCAAGGCTCTCTTTGGCCTCCGAGTGCATTGCACATAAATGGCACGCAGACACACATGCTGGCAAAACACCTATCCACATGAATAGAAATAAAGAGAAAAAATAGTGTTCTGTTCCTCTCTAGGGATAGGGGACAGTTAGGGCTTTACTGTACCCTATCTCCCTGAGTCCTGTCTCCTTCCTGGGGCTAGCTGAATGATCTTGGGCAAGCTGTTGTCATTATGTGTCTGCAGAGAAGCAGAGGGAGACTGAATGAGGTAGTTACAGAAAATAGTTGTTTTATTTGTTTGAGACAGGCTGTCACTGTGTAGCCCTGGATGTCCTAGAATTCTGTAGCTCAGACTGTGTGCCTGCTTCTGCCTCCCAAGTGCTAATCTTAAAGGTTTGTGCCACCACACTTGGCTCTTTTTTTTTGGTTTTTTTTTTTTGTTTGTTTTTTGAAATAAAGTTTCATGTCAGCCAGCCAGCTTTGGACTCAATGTGTAATAAGATTTACCTGAACTCCTGGTCTTCTGCCTGCATTCCTGAGTATTGGTATTATAGGCATGCGCCACCACATTGAGATAAAATTACTTTTTTATTCAAATTCTGTTATTTTAAAAATATTTTAAATTAGGCTAGGCAGTGCTGGCATACACCTTTAATTCCAGCACTCGGGAGGCAAAGGCAGACAGATCTCTGAGTTTGAGGCCAGCCTGAGCTACATAGAGAAACCCTGTTTCAGGGAAAAAATTTTTTTTAAACTAAAATTGCATTCCTTCTCTTTTCTCCCTTCAACTTTCCCATATTCCCCACTCTCTTCTTCCCTCTCAAATTTCAGGCCCTTTTTTTTGTTATTGTTACATGCATACTTATAAACACATAAATATGTGCGTACAACCTGCTCAGCCCATTTAGTGCTACTTGTATGTATCTGATTTTAGAACTGATCACTTGGTATTGGATAACCAGTTAGAGGCCTCATCCCTGGGAAACATTATTTCTTAGGCTCTCAGCAAGATAAATTTATCTGTCTATCTATCTATCTGTCTATCTATCTATCTACCTACTTACCTGCCTATCTATTTGAGACAGAGTTTCTCTGTGTTTGGAACTTGCTGTCTTGGAACTAACTCTGTAGACCAGGCTGACCTCAAACTTAGAGATCCAGAGATCCACCTTCCTCTGTCTCCCAAGTGCTGGGATCAAAGGTGTGTGCCCACTGCCTGGCTTGCTTTTGTTTTCTTTTGAGACAGGATCTTAGTACCCTTACTTGGAACTAACTCACTTTGTAACCCAGGCTGGCCTCAGACTTATGAGCCACCATACCTGTGTTTGATACTTTTTCTTAAATCAGAGTTAGAAAGTCAGGCGTTGATGGTGCACGCCTTTAATCCCAGCACTCGGGAGGCAGAGGCAGGTGAATCCCTGTGAGTTCCAGACCAGCCTGGTCTACCGAGCGAGTTCCAGGACAGGCTCCAAAACAATACAGAGAAACCCTGCCTCAAAACAACCAAATAAATAAATAAAACAAAACAAAAACAGAGTTAGACTTTAATAAGAAAGATGTTGGCGCTGGGTGGTGGTGGCACACGCCTTTTTTTTTTTTTTTGGTTTTTCGAGACAGGGTTTCTCTGTGGCTTTGGAGGCTGTCCTGGAACTAGCTTTTGTAGACCAGGCTGGCCTCGAACTCACAGAGATCCACCTGCCTCTGCCTCCCAAGTGCTGGGATTAAAGGCATGCGCCACCAACGCCCGACCGGCACACTCCTTTAATCCCAGCACTCGGGAGGCAGAGGCAGGTGGATCTCTGTGAGTTCGAGGCCAGTCTGGTCTACAGGGTGAATTCTAAGACAGCCTCCAAAACAATACAGAGAAACCCTGTCTCGGAAAAAAAAAAGAAAAAAAGAAAGAAAGAAAGAAAGAAAGAAAGAAAAATCAATTTTTGTGTGTATGGCATCATATTAAGTAGTTTATGTACATTGTCACTAAATCCTGTGATTTGCCTCAGACTCACATAGCTTGCACTTGGCCTCGCTGGAGCTTAACCAGGTGGTTCTAGCTGCCAGTGTTCATAGTCTTAGTGTTCATGGTTGAGCACTGATCTCACCTCCTCTTAATTTTGTCTAATTTTTCAGGTAGATGGGAAGTTGCTGTGTTGGCTATGCACGCTGTCATATAAGCGTGTCCTTCAGAAGACCAAAGAGCAGAGGAAACATTTGAGCAGCTCTTCTCGAGCCAGCCATCAAGAGAAGGAGCAGTACAGTCGCCTGAGTAGTGGCAGCCATTACAACAGGTAACCTCAGGTTCATGAGAGGACTACAGGAGCCGGTAGGCCAAGTGCCTCACTCCTCACTCAGTCCAGGAGGGTGCCGTCTCAGAAGTTTCCTGTTGCTACCAGGCTTTAGGAAGTCTGCTTGCCATATTTATAGTTCATATGTCTCCAAGGCCTAGGGAAGTTTCTGTATTATGTCTTAAGGTGTATACAACTTCTAGGTGGAACTCTCTACGTTAATTTGCATAATACCATGGGGATTGGACGTTTTGTTTCCTGGCTAGAGACTACATTTAAATATATATTTGGACAAATAAGTTGATAGGTATTCTAGACTTTTTCAGGGTGGGAGCCAGTTGAAAGATGTCCTTTGGTTGATGGCTGAAGCTTTCTTTTAGAGTATGTGCAATGATGTTAAGAATTGGACTCGTGTTTAATCCTGTCTCTAGCAAATTTTCTCATAGACAATGAGAAAGAGAATAGTGTTACCTCATGGGGTTGTTGTGAAGGCAAATTATATAGTACATGAATAGCCGTTTGTTTTCTAATGACAGTATTCAATGGGTTTTAGCTGGTTTTTGTTATTACTGTCATTATGGGTTTGTTTGTTCACTAGGCATTATTAAGTACTCTCGTGGGCCAGGGACTCTGCTGGGAATACAGAGATGAATAAAAGCCATGCTGTTCTCAGTAGTATGCCTCTGGTAGAGAAGACAGACTTGTAATCAAGTCATCACAGTGTAATGCGATGGGCACACTGAAAACTTGTCCAGATCAGTTAGGAGAGGCGGTTCTAATTAACTGCCTAGGAAGTCAGGAAGGCTAACTTGGGGAGAGCCTCCTGTAACTAACTACCCCTGGGGTGGATTGAATTTGTTGGGTGAAGACAAGGAGGGGTGTCCTAGTAGAGAGACTATTGCTTCCAGAAGACCAGAGGGCACAAGGCCACACAGAACCTGGGAGAACATCAGCACATTTGTGTAGTTGGAAACTGGAGGAGGAGGAAAGGGCCCTGCACCTATGGTCGGGCTTATGGGCAGCCACCAAAGGACCTGTGCAAGGGAAGGACCCAGCCTGTGTTGGCAGTAATTACCCTTAGTAGTAGAGAAGACACTGAAAGAATTGGGAACTGAGGACTGGGAATGTAGCTCAGTGTAGTGTTTGCCTAATGTTTGCAAGGCTTGGGTTTATAGCTCTTCCCATTGGGGCTGTTCTTTTTGTGCAAGTATAGGTAAGCTAAGAAATGTTACAGGAACTTCATCTCAGCCTGGTGATGGTGGTGCACACCTGTAACCTCAGAGCTCTGGAGGTGGAAGCAGAAGGATCAGGAAGGCCAGCCCCAGCTACATAGGGAATTCTAGGCCAGTGCGAGCTACATGAAACCCTGTCTCACCCTCACATAACCCAGCTTCTCCTGCCCTCACCCCCATACATACATGCAAAGATCCACCCGGAGGCACTGCATTGAGATAGTAAGAAATTTCTTTGGAGTGATGATTATAAGAAACTTGGATATGGGTCAGACAATGCAGATAGGCAGTTGCTGAGTGAATAAAGGGTCATTCTCAGGTTTCTCATGTGGATGAGCAGGTAGATCATAACTTAAAGAGAAACCAGGAAAGACAGAAAGAAGTTCAGTTTTTGAAATGCTTGGTTAGAACTTCTAGCAAAATTGTTTATAGCTGCTGAGCCTGGAACTGATCAGACATGAACCAGTAGTAAGGCATTAAAAATCAGTAAGAGTAGAGATGACTTTACATCAAGAGTCCTGCAGCCTCACTGAGTTCAGTTCAGTAGAATGTCACATAACATCTAGAGTCTGCATTGTGATTCCAATGTCTCTTGATTGTGATGGAGGTGATCCCAGGGAGCCGCTTTTCTGTTCCCTGTTGGAACTGTGTGTTTGGATGGTTCAGCTCAAAGTAGAGGCTGAGAACAGAAGTTAGAAGTGTTCAGTATTCAAGAATCAGGAAGAAAATATCCTCAAAATATGAAGTCTGAGTGGTCAAGAGTTCCAAGGATAGAGCAATCCCTGGTATCACATACTGGGGATCACAGAGGTCGGCAGTCATTGAAATCACATACTGAGGAGGTGTGGCTTATGGTTAAGAGTACTCATTGCTCTTTCAGAGGTCCTGGGTTCAGTTACCAGCATACATGGTAACTCCCAGCCATCTGTAGCTCCAGTTCCAGGGGATCTGATATCTGCTTCTGGCTTCTGAGGACAATAGACATGCATGCACTGTTCAGATGCACATACAGACAAAATACTCACACACAAGACAAAATGACTTAAAAAATAATGGAGAACACCCTTGGGTGTGGCATTGGGGCATCTGTCAGTATAAAGGGACTTCATGCCAGCGGCTGGCTTCCAGCTTGCTGTTACAGCCAGTTTTGGGTGACTGTACTAGACTTAAAGCTAGTTTTATTGTAGGACTGAGGTCCAGAGTGAATTCACAGAGATGTGATGAGGAAGGCCAGGAGTTCAGATGTGCTTGCTTGGCTCTTGTTATAGCTTTCCTGCTGGATGTCCTTGGGAGGGTCAGATACTAGCTTGTCAGAGACTAGCTTGTCTGTACTTCCCAGAGCTATGAGATGGAAGATGCTTGGGGGATAGGAAATGGGAAAGACTTCCTAAGACAGAAAACATACTTCTAGTTTTGGTCAGATCTATTTTCATACTTAATAATAAGTCAGGTAGTAAAGCAGTCAAGATGTTTTTTGATCCTATAGAAATTGGCTACCCATGCATCCAAGTATCCAAACCTGTAAACCACCATGGTAGGTCTTACTAACCAAACAGAATAAAGCTGTTGCCCAGAACATTGTTGGTCCATTTGACAGACTTTCCTTGGAGTGTTTTATTAATCTTTGATTTCTAATGTGTGTGTCTCTCTCTTTTTGCCATCAAAAGCCAGAAAACACTTTCTACATCTTCAATTCAAAATGAAATCCCAAAGAAAAAATCCAAGTTTGAGTCAATCACAACTAATGGAGACAGGTGAGCCAGTTGGAGTATGAGTGTACGCATACTTGAAACACATAAGTAGTTCTTGACTACACTTGAAGGTATACCTCAGAGCTAGCCAGGGTCCTGAGTGGACCTGTTATGGGTGCTATGCTAGTCACTTTGTAGTTATAGATAAGCGCTACTGGTAGCTATTTATCAGTTGAATATAAGAACTTAGCCGGGCGTTGGTAGTGCACGCCTTTAATTCCAGCACTCCGGAGGCAGAGGCAGGCAGATCTCTGTGAGTTCGAGGTCAGCCTGGTCTACAAGAGCAAGGTCCAGGACAGCCTCCAAAACAATACAGAGAAACCCTGTCTCAAGAAAAAACAAAAAACAAACAAACAAACAAACAAAAAAACCCAAGAACTTAGTGGGCATGTTGTCTCGTGCTTGTAGTCTCAGAACTTGGGAGGTTGAGTCAGGTGATTGACCTGGAGTTCAAGGCCAGTCCATATAATTGACCATGTAGTTGGATGTGATGACACACTCTTTTAGTCCCAGCAGAGGTAGATCTCTGTGAGTTCAAGGTCAGTCAGGGCTACATAGTGAAACCCAGTTCAAAAATAAATACATATTTAGAATTCATAGCCAGATTAACTGTAGTTAAATTCTTTAGTCCACTAAGGAAGTCTAAGGAGTGAGGAGATGAATGTTTTCCTGTGTGGTCTGTGCCTGTTGCCTCCAGGAAGAGTTGGTTTAGAGAGAGCAGAAGTGGGGTGAAGGCAGGCCTGCATGTCTGCCCGGATATTCCAGACTTTTTTACATGTGCCTGTATAGATGCTGGGACAGGCGAGAAAGAGATACAGTTCAGTGTTCCTGTTTCATTTTGGCCTGCCTAAATGCATATTTTCATTGCTCGCTTTCCTTTCTCCTCAGTGATGCTTCCTCTCATGAGCTGTTTTGTCCTACCTAGTACCCAGAGCCCATATGTGTTGGTGCCGTGGGCTGCTTCCCAACAGAGTCTTGGAGCCATCCATTTTCCTGGTCCTCCAGGCCCAGGCATCCTGAAGTGAGATCACCTGACACTACCCCAGAGTCCTTGGAAGCTTCTCCATTCTGAGAACTCACATTCACAGCATTCGAGACCAGCCGAAGGAGGCCTTGTCAGGGCTGCCTGTTGCTTTATCTCACAGAATGTAACCGTCTGTGGAGTCTCCTTTTCCCTGTCCCCCCCCCCCCAGGCAGGGTTTCTCTGTGGCTTTGGAGGCTGTCCTGGAACTCGCTCTGTAGACCAGGCTGGCCTCAAACTCACAGAAATCCACCTGCTTCTACCTCCCGAGTGCTGGGATTAAAGGTGTGAGCCACCACTGCCTGGCCTCCTATTCCCTGTTGCAGTTTTTACTTTATTTTTCTTTTCTTCTTCTTTTCTTTTTGTTGTTGTTGTTTTTTTTTGAGACAGGGTTTCTCTGTGTAACAGCCCTGGCTGTCCTGGAACTTGCTCTGTAAACCAGACTGGTCTCGAAAACAGAGATCCACCCACTGCCTGCCTCTGCCTCCCGAGTGCTGGGATCAAAGACGTGTGCCACCACTGCCCAGCAGTTTTCGGCTTCTTGAACCTTGAACCTTTTGGAAATGCTTAAGGTTTCCAGGTTGTACGTGGGAAAGAACCATGCAGACCCAACTTTCTGGTCTCTTCCCCCATTCTTTTGAGCAGCTAGTTGGACTGTTCTGAAGAAAACAGATGTGTCCATCATCTTTTCATGATTCTGTAAAAACTGCTTCAAGGAGCAAATTTTTTGAAGTCCTAGAAAGCAGGCCACTGAAGCCCCACCCTGTACTTTCAGATCCACCATTCCTATGGACTTACTTACCCAGGCTGTGCTAGTGGTCCCAGGGAGCTCGTTCATGCTGCAGTTCTGTGCGCCCAGTCTTTGGCAGCTTTACCTCTCACCAGCTTGTCTGTCTTGGGTATTGCCTCCAGTCTTACTGCCTGTTGCCTCGGATGCACCAAGCTAAAACCTAGGCTGGCCCTAAAGATGGTTGAATCATCTCCGGCCACAAGTAGGGATGGTTTTGCTCAGTGGGATGCTAGGTACATGGTCTTTTATTATGTCCTCCAGAGAAGGCATTGAAAGATCATTTTTCCCCATACTGGTTTTATGTGTGTGTGATATTGGTACTTGAGCCTTGGGCTTCCTACCTAATAGGAAAGTACTGCATCCCTAGCCTCATACTGACTTAAAAAGTTATTATTTTACCCGAGTGCGGAGGGCAGGGTTGGAGAGTGAGTCTCGATGTGCAGTTTCGATTCTCCTGGACTTGGTGGTAACCCAGGTTGACCTCAGACTTGAGGTAGTCCTCTTGCCCCAGCCCACTGATCTCGGGGTGTGCCACCTTATTTATCTTATAATTTGAAAATTTAGGTGATTTTTTTTTCTGCTGCCACAGAAATATTTACCCATAAGCACATTCCTTTTGAATGTTCCTGCATTATTAGTGCTCTTAATAATTTAGTCACATGTTTACATTTCTTTTAATTATTCAATACAATGTAAGCTACATTTTGTTATCCTTTTACTTTTTTGTGGGTTTTTTCCTACTCTTTTTCTTTGGTTTGACCCCCCCTCCAAAAAAAAAAAAAAAAAGGCTGGTGTCACCCGCCTCTCATCTCAGCACTCAGGAGTCTGGAGGCAGGAAAGTCAAGAGTTCAAGGTCATCCTCAACTACCTACGGAACCCAAATCAGCCTGGAGTACATTTTTATGAGACACTTTGAAAAAACAATAACAAAGAAGCATTTCTGTAATTTTTGATTCCTTTTTAAATATTCAAACAATATTTTATTTATAAATATGGAATGTTTCAGGAATTTGCATGCCATCCTTACACAGGCCATGCTGATCTTTGTATTGTTCCAATTTTAGTGTATGTGCTGCCAAAGCAAGCACTCCGTGTGTGTGTGTGTGTGTGTGTGTGTGTGTGTGTGTGTGTGTGTGTGTGTGTGTAAATGGAGTGTAGAGAGAATCTCATATGCCCCAGGCTGACCTCAGTCTCTGTAGTGGAGGATGACCTCAAACTTCTGATTGCCCCATCTCTATCTCCTGAGTACTCGAATTACAAGCATGGGCCACTCTTGCCAGGTTTATGTTTTACTAGAGATCGCACCCAGGGCCTTGTGCATGCTGGACAAACATTATCAACTAAGGAGCTTTCCTAGCCCTCAAGTATGGCATATACTCATATACTGGGGGATGGGAGCAGCAGTTGAGTAACTGGTGAATGTTTCCTTAGCAGAAGGCCCTTGGTTTCAATATTTAATACTAACTTTTTTTTTTTTTTTTTACGAGATAGGGTTTTGGAGGCTGTCGGACCAGCCCGGCCTCGAACTCACAGAGGTCCGCCTGCCTCTGCCTCCCGAGTGCTGGGATTAAAGGTGTGTGCCACCACCGCCCGGCTCAATACTAATTTTTAAAATTTATGCTTTTACTCTTTAGATTTTTTTTATTCCTTATGGCTTCTGTATGTTGCTTCATGAAAATTATATGTTGATCTTATACTGCCATATTCTTTTATTTAATATTGAGGCATGTTTGATTCATATTCTCTCTCTTTCTCCCTCTCCCCCTTCTTTCCCTCCCCTCCATTTGAGACAGGGTCTCACTATGTAGACCTGACTGGCCTGGAACTTCTTATTAAACTGATATTATTATACTATGTTTGGTCTTAGTCAAAAGGCTAAGAATCAGTCCTGGAACTTTCTATTCAGACCTAGTCTGGCTTGGAACTCAGGGATCTGCCTGCATCTACCTCACCTCTCAAGTGATAGGATTAATGGCATGTACCACCCTGCCCAGTCATTATTCCTTATCCCTTAGCTTTTCATATTGTAGACAGGATGCATTAGCTTAGCTTTCTGTGATGTTTTGAAACCTAGAAGGTGTCTTAGTCCATTTGTTTTTCAGTAGCCTCCGCTCAATATTTCTAATTTGCTAGTTAAAATTGTGACCAAAAATTTCTGATTTGAGGATAATGTTAGACAGTGTTCCTTCCTTGATAAAATCTGCCCCTTACTTTTCTGTCATACTAGACTGCTAAGTGCTCCATATAGGCAGTCCAGAATCCAACTTAGCCGTAGGTAGCAGCCAGGCACCTACAGTTTGTCATTTCCAAAGGACTTTTAAATTTTATTGATTCTCGCCCTTGAGCTGTGCCTGCAGTGTTGGGCTTCCTTGTGTCCTTTGAAGATGGCCTATGAACAGTGGACTTTATTACTGTAACCCTATTTTGATTCAACCCAGGAAAAGTTGTTTGTCTTGAGGGTGGACCTTGCTGTTTAGCATGAGCTGACCTTGAGTATGAACTCCCTTCCTGAGCCTCTTAGCAGAGAACCTGTTCTTGTGCTAAAGATCTTTCAGAAAAGGCAGGAAATGGAAATGTCCTGGAGTCCTGGAACAGCTCTGATTTTACCAACAATCAATTGGTGCAAGAGTGATTTCTATGGCCGGTGCTTAAGCTCAGTGGTTGAATGTTCTCGTCTCATGCACGAGAGCTTCAGTCCTCAGCACTGCCAACAGCAGAGATGGTTTCCTGAGAAGCAGGTAGAGCAGAGCATTTGGAGCTATCAGACAGTGAAAATTTACTCTAGGTAGCCTGTACTCTGCCCTTAACCTGCTGTAGTTGTGAGTTTAAGTAGGCTCTGTCGGTTTGAGGAAAGACATGTTTTGGTGGATATTGAAACAGATACAAGGAAACTTCTAGAACTGAACTTGGAGAAGACTGATAGCCCTTATCCTGAATGCCTGGTTTATTATTTTGATTGTCTGTTGCCCATCCTGTACTTGTGCACATTGATCAGTTAGGAGAGCATCGTTCTAGTCTCCTCCAGGGCTCTGTTACAGATGCCTCATGTGGACGGAGTGAGTGAGGGTAATGCTGTGGTCAGTGGTCGCTGTCTTCCGGCTCCAGCTATAGAAGAATCTGACTTGTAACTGAGGGAGCATGTGCAGTTGAAAGCTGCTCAGGGCTGTTACAGTGCTGCATTTTAGCTGCTGTTTAAGACTCAGGAAGGAGCGAACTCAAGGACTATGAGCTGTTGCTCTGTTGACAGAGGATTGAGATCAGTGTCCACATTTGTGTGTTGCTTTAAAGATTGTCGAGAAAAGAACTTCCTGTGGGAATTCCCTGGAAAAAGACAGGAAGTAACCTTTGGCAGTGATTCCTTGTTTAGTCTGAGACACCTCTGATACCACTGAAGACTTTGAATCCTCACCCAGAAAAGATTTTGCATGTTATTTCAGGGTCTTAAGATTCCCTGAAGTGGGGGAGATTAGGAGGATCTGCTAAAAGGACATGAGAGTCACCAGTACGAAGTGGGGAGTTGTGGAAAGCTTGAACTGTGACTGGAGTTTGCCACCTTTGGCCCTTTCTCCACTAAGCATCACAGATTCTTTTTGTTGTTGAGACTAGGTCTCATACAATAGCTCAGACTGTCCTGGGATTCACTATACAGCCTAGGCCTGCTTCAAGCTCACAGCAGTCCTCTTGTCTCATCGTGCTGAACATTAAGATGATAGGCCACCAGTGCAGACAGAAGCTAGTCTTCCTGTGTACCCCATCTTTTTAGCGTTTTTTTCTCCTCCCTCCCTCCCACCCTCCCTCCTTCCCTTCCTCTCTCTCTCTCTCCCCTTCCCCCCTCTGTTTTTGGTTTTTCCAGACAGGGTTTCTCTGTAGCCCTGAGTATTCTGGAACTCACTCTGTAGACCAGGCTGGCCTCAAATTCACAGAGATCCGCCTGCCTCTGCCTCCTGAGTGCTGTGATTAAAGGTGTGTGCCACGTGGTACCTCAATTTCTTAGGAGCTCAACCTCATCACAGGACTTTAGTGCTGAGCTTGCACTCATCATTGATAGTCTATCCAAGATTCTAGGAAAGTTCTCTAACACAAACATGGCTGTAGGACCAGTAACACCTGGAGATCTTCACTGAGTCTGAAGTAGTAACCTTGGCTCTTGGGATGTCATGTTTATTTTGGTCTCACTTGTGAGAGGTTGTGGGCTTATGGTTGGATTGGCATCGTTTTCTGATGCCCACCATTCCTGTGCTTAGTCCAAGTACAGCAGATACTGGTGAGCCTGAAGTGGACTGAGCAATATGCTTGTTGGCCAGAATTCAGATAGTTACTGACCCTAGGTTCACCATCAGGTGACCCAGAGTGTGTCCTTAAGTAGAGAAAAGTTTTTCCATTCAAGGTATGAAATTGTCTCTTCATTTTCTACCCAGCTTTTCCCCAGACCTGGCTCTGGATTCACCTGGCACTGACCACTTTGTCATCATTGCCCAACTGAAGGAAGAGGTAGCCACTCTGAAGAAGATGCTGCATCAGAAGGATCAAATGATCTTAGAGAAAGAGAAGAAGGTATGACTTCATCAACGCCTTTCAGGCCAGAGACTTACAAAATGAAGATCCATGGAGTGGGAAATAATGCTTCCTCTGTTGGGTACTTACCATTGGTGGCTTAAAAGAGAGCCTGTGGTCTGCTTGGGGTTCCCTGAGAAGAGGGTGTGTTTGCCAAGTTGATTCCTGGGATGGCAGGCATGTTGGTCTGCATGGGTGATGGGAACCAAACCAGGGTCCTCTGCAAGAGCAACAAGTGTTCTTAACCACTGAGGCAGCTCTCCAGCTCCAGTTTTGCCCTTTGAGATGGGATCTTAAGTAGTCCTGACTGGTCTGGAACTTGCATCTTTAGTATTGATAGTCTGTCTTCATGCTTTAGTAGTTTCTTTTAAACGTTTTATATATCTATTTATTTGTTTATTTATTTATGGGGTGAGTGCATATCACAGTGTACACGTGGAAGCATATGTCCAGGGGATTGAACTCAGGTCATAGGCTTGGTGGCAAGCACTTTTTCCCACTGAACCAACTCACTGGTCTCTTGCTGGTCTTTTTTTGTTTTTTTTAAGGCACAGTTTCTCTGTATAACCCTGGCTGTCCTGGAGCAGACCAGGCTGGCCTCAAACTCACAGATATTAGCCTGCCTCTGCCTCCTGAGTACTAAGATTAAAGATATGGGCGAAAAGCCGGGGGTTGGTGGCGCACGCCTTTAATCCCAGCACTCGGGAGGCAGAGGCAGGCGGATCTCTGTGAGTTCGAGACCAGCCTGGTCTACAAAAGCTAGTTCCAGGACAGCCTCCAAAGCCACAGAGAAACCCTGTCTCGAAAAACCAAAAAAAAAAAAAAAAAAAAAAAAAAAAAGATATGAGCTACCATGTCCCAGCCTGTTTTGGTTTTGGTGGTTTTTTGTTTTTGTTTTTTTGAGACAGAGAGTTGCTCTGTGTAGCCCTGGCTGTCTTGGAACTCACTTTGTAGACCAGGCTGGCTCGGAAGTCAGTTCTCATGTTGTGGTGACCCCCAACCATAAAATTATTTTCATTGCTACTTCATAACTGTAATTTTGTTACTGTTATGAATTGTAATGTAGCTGGGCAGTGGTGGTGCACTCCTGTAATCCCAGCCCTCTGGAGGCAGAGGTGGTGGAAATCTCTGAGTTTTATACCAGCCTGGTCTACAGAGTGAGTTCCAGGACTACACAAAGAAACCCTGTCTCCAAAATAAAAGACAAAAACCACCTAATAGTATGAATTTAAATAATGTAAATATTTTTGGAGATAGAGGTTTGTGAAAGGGGTCTCAGCCCACAGATTGAGACTGCTGATTTGTACCCAGTGAGCCACCTCCTGGCCCTTGTTCTATCTTTTGAGATAGAGGCATGCTGTACAGACCTCACTTCCTGGTACTTGCCATGTAAACCAGACTGTCCTTGAACTTGTGGCAGTCCTGCTTTTGCTTCCCAAGTGCTGAGATTATAGATGCATGTTAGGATTGCATCCAACCAAGGCTGGCCTTAAATTCATGTGCAGCAGTGGACATGAGTCTGAAGTCTAGAGTTGGAAATCAGCACCACATTAACACTGCTGGCCCTCCCCCTCGAGGCATACTTTAAGCTTTTAGACCTCAGGCTATAAAGATCGGACAAAGTATGGGTTAATTTTTAAAAACAATAGGGCCAGCCAGGCGTTGGTGGCCCACACCTTTAATCTCAGCACCTGGGAGGCAGAGGCAGGCAGATCTCTGTGAGTTCGAGTCCAGCGTGGTCTACAGAGAAAGTTCCAGGACAGACACCAAAACAATACAGAGAAACCCTGTCTCGAAAAACCAAAAAAAAAAAAAAAAAAAGTTAAATAAAGAAATAAATGAAGATAGAATAAAACAATAAATCCATTTTCTTGGAAATGAAAGCAGTGATTACTCTCAACTCCTTTCAAACCCTGTTGACTTTTACTTGTAGTTGAGCATTTGGAAGGTTGCTGGAGCTATCAAATCCTAAAAGGATTAGCTGTTTAAGTATCTCAAGTTTTTTGCTGTTGTTGTTTGGATGTGTTTGTTTTTGAGACAGTCTCACTATATAGCCTAGGCTGGCCTTGAACTCAAGGTAGCTCTGCTGCTTTGGCCTCTTGAGTGCTTGCTTAGATTACACTTAAGCACCACCATCACGGCCAGCCAGAAATGTTTACTTGGAGTTGGGGGAGGTGGTGTGCCACTTGGGAGGCTGAGGCAGGAGAATTCTTGACCCTAGGACTTTGAAGATAGTCTGGGCAATGAAACACAAAGAGGAAGGGAGAGATTGGAGGGGAGAAAGAAAGATAATGGACTCGGAAATTTGTAACTCTTCAGAAAAGCCTTAAGGAAAAGGATGGAGTGTGGACATGCAGGAGAGCCCTGGGTTCCAGTAAACTGGAAGACTGTCTGTTTAGATCTCTGATACCAGAACATTTACCATTATCAAGGAGTTTGAGTCACTCTGATTTTTTTTCCTTCAGATCACAGAGCTGAAGGCTGATTTTCAGTATCAGGAGTCTCAGACTCGGGCCAAAATGAACCAAATGGAGAAAACCCACAAGGAAGTCACAGAGCAATTGCAGGTAAGTTTGTGGTGACCTGGTGTGCTCACGATTGTGTTCATTAACCATCCCTTAGGTTGCTTTCTCTCCGAATGTATACAGTGTTCTGCCTTCATGTGTGTCTGCGTGCCAGGTATCACTGCAGATAGTTGTGAGCCATATGGCTGCTAGGAATTGAACTCAGGACCTCTGGAAGAGCAGCCAGTGCTCTAGTGCTCTTAACCTCTGAGACATCTCTCCAGCCCTGTGTTTTCATCTTTTTTCTCTCAAGAACTGTAATTAACAAATGTGTTCTTTTTTTTTTTTTTCAACCTCTTTATTTATTTATTTTTGGTTTTTCAAGACAGGGGTTCTCTGTATTGTTCTGGAGGCTGTCCTGGAACTCTCTCTGTAGACCAGGCTGGCCTCGAACTCACAGAGATCCACCTGCCTCTGCCTCCCGAGTGCTGGGATTAAAGGCGTGCACCACCAACGACCGGCCAAATGTGCTCTTTTATTTCTTTAATTCACCAGATGTGAGTCCAGATGTCTGAGCTATAGATCTAGAAGTAGTCCCAAGAGATCAAGCTCACCAGTGCACATCTACCAGATACTTTTTTACTTAACTGGGTGTCAAGCCCCAGAGTTTCCTGTTGATTTCCCTCTCTGGACCAGTGCCTGCCTTTGTGTCGTCGTCCCCCCCTTACATTTACACAGACAGCTGCCCTTACCATTATTACATTATTATTATTACGCATTAAATTCATTCTGCACAGAAAGCATATACTAACTGTCCAATGAAAACTGTTCTTGCACTGACTTCTTTTTTTTTTTTTTCCCCCCTTCGGTTTTTTGAGACAGGTTTTCTCTGTGTAGCTTTGGAGGCTGTCCTGGAGCTTGCTCTGTAGACCAGAGCTGGCCTCAAACTCACAGAGATCTGCCTGCCTTTGCCTCCCCAGTGCTGGGATTAAAGGCATGGACCACCAACTCCAGCCTGCACTGACTTCTGATTTCTATGATTTTTAGGCCAAAAACCGAGAGCTTCTGAAACAGGCAGCTGCTTTGTCCAAGAGCAAGAAGTCTGAGAAGTCAGGCACCATAACATCTCCGTGAACACCCCAAGAAGGCTCCCAGCAACACCAGCCGGTGCTCCTGGGTCACGGTTGGCAACCTGGCTGTTCTGGGAATTGTGCTTTCCTACAAAATCTCTATTTTCTTACCGTTCCCCTTCTTTGTGCGAATGCAGTGGGCTGAATGGAAACACCTGGTTTGTGCCATGCTATGACTGCATGCTGAGCGTGTGGGATTTCACACCTGCTCCTCCTCCTCCTCCGCTCCCCTCTATGTCAGTACTCGATGTTTCCCATAGTGGTCACTGCTCAGTGTAATGTGCAGAGTTTCTGTCGCCGTCACACCTGTCGTCCGCTGTGCATCACTGCCACCCTCTGAACCTTGAAAACTGCCACCTGAGACTTTGTGCAGTGAGAGAGCCTTTCTCTCGCCAATAAACCTTTTGCTTCAGGGTATACTCTTGGGTTTTTTCCGGGTATATTATGTATGACCTTTGTACTATGTATAGACAGAGTTTTATTTATTTTTTAAAAAGGAAACCTTTTCTTGATAAAGGAATGATGATAGGCTAGCTAGTTCTTGTAAAAGCAATGCCTCTTTGGAAAAAAAGAAAAAAAATGCAGTCCTGTTTGCTAGCTTTTAGTAAGAGAATCCTATCTTTTCTTTCTTATTACCTTAGATTCTCAATGCTAAGGTAAATGCTGGGGGCGTGTAAGTGTGGAGCTAAGTGCCTTTGGAGGACTCTGGAAGAGCATTGAGGAGATGCTTAAGGGTGCAGAGAATTGACCAGTCTGTCTTTAAGTCAGGGCAGAAAGAACGGTTGTCCAGGTTGTACTGGACACTTTCCCCCTCTATCTACCCCTCCTTCTTTTACACAATTTTAAATTCCCACACTGCCACTTCTTTTTTAAAAACATACCTGTTTCTTGCTTGCGTCAGCTGTCATATCAGGCTGTTAATAGAACTTTTTTTTTTTAACATTAGCAGATTCAAGTGGGATAAGATTTGAACTGCTTGTGTGTCTCCAGGGCTTGGCGTGGGCCTCCCTGAGTGTTCCCTTCACATCTTGACCCAGTAGGCCGGTGGGAAGGGACAGGTTCATGTGGAGCCTCACTCCTCGATTTTTGTGAAAGAAACTAGAGATGGACAGTAGGTGCCATGACACAGAACAAACCCTGAATCAGTGCAAGGGTGTCAGAGCCGATCATGAAGACAGGTGACATCTGTACCACATCCGCCAGCGATAGACAGGTGGGGTCACTGTTCTCAGCAGGCGCTCCGCACTTTGTGGTTGCATTGTCAGAAGAGACTCACGCACACAGATGGACAGATACAGACGTGAGGCTCTTTCCGACAGGAGACTGGAAGGGCCATGGATTTATTTGTCGCCGTGGTAGGGAATGCAGTTTTGCCTTCTAAGCAGGGAAAATTGCTGTGCTGAATCATTTTGTAACTTTTTGACTGAGAAACTTTGAGGTAAAGATAACTGTCAGTCATACACTACTTTTCAGATGTGTTTGCATTGGCTGTGGGGAAAAGATGGTAGAAAAAGAATGACAGCCATGGTTTCTTAAAGCGTAAGACTGAGAAATTGTGGATGTGAAATATGACAGTATACAGATGCTCATTCAGTTTTATACTAAATCTTTTTTTAAGGTCTTAGCATTTAATACTCAGCAAACCTACACATTTTCTAAACGAACATGAGCTCCTGAATGGTAAAGAGTATAAACCTCAGTCTTGAAATGTTGATTTTTTTTTAAATCATGACAGCATTTTACCATGAAATTGAGTAACTTTTGGTAACACCTTCCATTTCTTTGTATGTTTGTAATAATGGACATTTTAAAACATAGGAGTGTTTTGGTTTGTACAGACTTTGACAAATGTGTGTTAATAAAATTCATATTGACTCAGATGAATATTTTGATTTAGTTGCTGGGTTATGTTTTCCTCTTTTACTCTCCCTCCCTTCCTCTCTCCTCCCTTTTTTCTTTTCTTTGCTGGGTGGAACCCAGGGTCTTGCTCAGGCTGAGCAAACACTGAACAACTGAGTTGTACTTGGCCCATGTGTTTATTTCTTGCTGATTTCACCTGAAGACATATCCTACCCGTTCTTGATACTCTGAGAGTAGTTTATCCTGTAGACTGATGGGGAATTTAAGACCTGTCAGGAGTACCAGGTGGGTTCTTGTTACAAAAGATCAAATTTTAACAATTCAACAGTTTTGGAATGCCAGCAGGCCCTGTCGAATAATTTCAACAGGACAAGGACAAGAGTTGGTTTCTGTTCCACATGTAGGTTTTCAGCTAGGAAGACTGAAAGGTCATGGGGCTGGAGTTGGCCTGTCCAGTGCTCATTTACCTACACTTGGGCTGGGCATAGTGAAGTAGTGCAGTGTTAACCGGTCCCTTATGTCCCTTCTGTGTAGTGTAGCCTTCCCTGGCATGGTGGCCTTAGGTAATCAGACTCAGGCACCTTGAGATTCCACGCAGCAGTGTTATAGTAAGGCAGTAGCTGTGTCCATGTCATCTGCTCCAGAGGTAACATGTCCTTATGGCCACTGTATACTCACTGTTAAAGTAGTCAGAAACCCCTGCAGACTCAGAGGACACAGATCATTCATCCTGGTGGTTTAATGTCAAAGCAGAAGTACATGTGGGATGGGAGCTGTTATAACTACCATAAAATAGGATCTGCCACATGCAATAGCTTCTGGAATTAGAACAGACCCAAGAGCAAGGCAGAGGCTACAGTGTTTTATGTCCTGACTTCATACATTGCCATAATTTCTCAACCATCCTATTGGTTGCAGTGGCAAAATTACCAACATTGAGCATGAGAAGGAAGGAACTGCATTCACCTCAGGAGCTGGAATCATTGAGGTTAAGGTAGAGAGATGGCTCAATAGTTAAGAGTAAATCTGAGGTCTGGAGAGGTGGCTCAGTGGTTAAGAGCATGGACTCCTATTAAGAGAAGCTTTTTCTTTGCTAGCTGCTTTGGTTTATCTCCCGCCAGTTGCCTGGGCTCTGCCGCTTTGTAGTCCCCAAATAAACACACAAGACGCTGTATTAATTATAAAGCTGTTGGCCTTGCTTGTTTCTTACTGGCTAGCTCTGACTTAAGTAATTACCCCATAATTGTTAATCTAAGTATGTCTCTTACCGGAGAATAGTTCCGGGCTCCTACCCCATGGCGTTACATCTCAAACTCTCTTGTGTTTCTCCTTCCCAGAATCCTCCTGGACTCCTAGCCCCACCTATCTAGATTCCTATAGGCTCAACCGTACTTTATTGACAAATAACAGGCAAATAACAGGACTTCCCCAACAGACTCCTCTTTCAGAGGACCCAGGTTCAGTTCCCAGCACCTACATGGTAGCTTACAATCATCCCTAACTCCAGTCCCAGGGGATCTGACCTCCAAGGGCACCTCTGTCTCCTGAGTGCTGGGATTAAAGGTGTGTGCCACCACTACCTAGCCAATATAGTTTTAAAAAGTGAATCCTGCTCTTTTGGAGGACATGGGCTCAGTTCCCAGCACCAACATGGCCACTAACAACTGTCAGGAACAACAGTTCCAGGCGATCTGAGACTCTTGACTTCTGCGGGCTCCTGCCTACACATGATACACAGATATCCACTCAGGTACACATGCACAGTATTTAAAAAGAACTAACTGCTGGTGTCCATCTTGGAGATGACTTCCACACTGATCTTGGCCTGTAAGATTAAGTTCTAAAATTGATTGACAGTTTCAAAAGTAGGTCATATTTTTTTTTAACTTACCACTGGGATTGATGACTTCTCTATTTCTCAGCCGTTAAAGGACTGTCCCCGCATATTTCCAATCTTACTTGAAAAGTGATGTCATGCTGGGTATGGTAGCATATGCTAGTAATCTCAGCACTGAGGAGGCTAAGGTAGGAGGATCATGAGTTTAAGGCCAGCCTGGGCTACATAGACCCAGTCTCAAAAAGACACCACCACTTCTACCAACAACAGTAAAACTAAGATTGTGCTGTGCTACAAAGTCAGGTTACCTGAGCTTCAAATTTGTCTCTCTGTCTTAAGGCTGTAGTTAGGATGGAGTAACATGCATAGACACTTTAGGACAATGCTCAGTGTTGGTTCAGTTGTATAAGCTGTAAGTATTCATGCTTCCACAGAACCAACATTTCCTGTTCAGGCTCCCACTGTGTAGCCCTGGCTGTTTTGGAACTCAGAGCTCCCCCACCCCCCACCCCTTGCTTGCCATATGCTGAATTAAAGGGGTGTGCCAGCACACCACACTTCACTTTCTGTTTCTTTTTTTAAAAATACAGGATGGTTTGCCTGTGTGTGTATATCTATGCACCACATGGGTGTGTGTTGCCCAGCGTGGCCAGAAGAGGGCATCAGATCCCCCAGAATTGGAGTTACAGGCTCTGTGGTGCTGAGACTCGAACCTGGTCTTATAGAAGACTGAGCCATCTCTTCGGCCCCACCTCTTTCTGTTACTTGAGAGGGAAGGTGGTAGAAAGATAAATTAGAATGAACCTTACCCTCCCCCTCCCCTCTTCCCTCCTCTCCACCTTTGTCTCCTCCTCCCCACAGGGTCTTGTGTATACCAGACCCCTGCCCTACCATCAAGATGAATCTCCACTTTTTTACTTCCAGTAAATTAAGTTGGCTCATGCTTGTAATCCCAGCTCTTGGGAGCCTAAGGTATGACTAGGTGATGACTAGGTGACATTTGAAGTCACTCTAGGATTCAAACTGAAACTTCCAGCCTGGCACAATGGTGCATGCCTATAGCCAGCAGAGGCAAGTGAATTCCAGGTTAGGCTAGTCTACATTACAAGTTCTAGGATAGCCAGGACTACATACTGAGATCCTGACTCAAAAAAAATAAAATAAAGAAGAAATAAAGAGAAGAAAAGAAAAAAATTGCAGTCCAATCTTTCTGTTAAAAGTTAAAACCTAGGGGCTGGAGAGATGGCTCAGAGGTTAAGAGCACTGGTCTGCTCTTCCAGAGAACCTGGGTTCAATTCCCAGCAACTATATGGCAGCTCACAACTGTCTGCAACTCTGGTTTCAGGGTGCCTGACACCTTCTATACCAATGCAAATAAAATTAATAAATAGTTTTTAAAAATTAAAAAAAGTTAAAACCTAAACTGGACATGGTGGTACATGACTTTAATCCCAGCACTTGGGAGGCAGAGGCAGATAGATCTCTGTGATTCGAGGCCAGTCTAGTCTACAGAGTGAGTTCCAGGACAGCCAGGGCTACACAGAGAAACCCTGTCTTGAAAGAAAAATTAAAATCTAACAAAACAGAACTTTGTTTTCTGATTGTTTTTTCATTTTAGCTAATTCTTCATAGTCAATTTGCCAAAGAATTGTAATTTTTCTCCCCTTGGACCAATTGGAGACCGACCCAACACTGTTAGAAACTGTCAGTGCTTTTGATTTTAAAAAATTGTATACATTTACTCCTCTCTCTCTCTCTCTCTCTCCTCTTTCTCTCTCTCCTCTCTCTCTCCTCTCTCTCTCCCTCTCTCTCTCTCCCCCCCCCCCTCCCCGCCTCTCTCATGGTTTCTCTGTATAACAACCCTGGCTGTCCTGGTTCTTGTTCTGTGGAACAGGCTGTCCTCGAAGTCACAGAGATCCACCTGCCTCTGCCTCCCGAGTGCTGGGATTAAAAGCGTGTGCCACCAATGCCTGACTCATGTTTCTTCTTTTTTCCAAGATTTTATAATTTATTCTTCTCTGCTCTGTCTCCTCCCTTCCTCTTCCTCCCATGCTTTACCGCCAAGCTCTGGTCACTATTTTGATATTAACTAATGCTCACTAAGCCGAATGTAACATCAAAAGTGTTTTCCCTCAACAAATAACCATGAACAATTGTCAAAACAGATAGGGCTGTGATTGCATTGCCAGTACTCGGGAAGTAGAAGCTTGCAGATCTCTGTGAGTTTGGGGTTACCCTTGAACCCTGTCTGCATAGCAAGTTCCAGGGCTATGCAGAGAGACACTGTCTCAAAAAAAGAAAAAAAGAAAAGAAAAAGAAAAACACTTGTCAAAATAGGAGAAAATTTGCTTTGAGTGAGCCCCCAGATGTATTATAATAATGGCAACATGAAGCTATAAAAATCAGAAAGTGACATCTGGTGGTGGAGGACAATTGGTGGGAAGGAGCATAAACTGAAACTTCCTGGGGTGATGAGGATTCTGTATCTGTTTGCCTGGTACTTACTGGAGTGAACAACTAGACACATTGAACTGAGTACTTTCTATCTGTATTCCATTGCAAAACTGTTCTAATTCAATAAAACAAAGCACCGAGAAATGCTGTTTAGTTCTAGAAGATGCTGCTGTGAGCCACAGCTGATTTAAGAACACATGTTTGCATATCTTTCTGCAGTGCTGGTAATCCTGGGCTACAGGGGAGGATGTATGAACCATGGCTGCCATTTAACAGCTGTATGACACTGGGCAAGTACCCAGAATCTCAGAGCATGCCAGTTCTCTTATCTGTACAAGAAAAGCAAATCACGTCTCAATGGAATACTGGGGAGATTGTTTTTTGTTAATTAACAAAAGGACTAGTGCTAGGATATCTTACTCTCTAAAGTCTTAGATTGTCAGAAATTTTGTTGTTTGAAATATCTGTACGAATGGAACATTTTACTCTTAACTGGAAGGTTTGGGTTATTTGGACAGAGAAGAGCATCCTGGGAGTCTAAGACAGGTGCAGAGCTCCAGATAAGGTTTCCAATGACAGCATCCTACTCTATCTTCACATGGTAGTTTCCAAGGAAACAGGCTCCTGAGCCCTCTTGATAGCTCAGGCCTGCTGATAATCCCTTTACACAGCCCAGTGTGCTTTGAAGAGATCAAAACATCGCCTCTGGACAGGAGATGTGGCTCAGCAGCAG